ACTGTCCTAGTTATAACCCTAAATAGGATAATTCGGACACAGGTTATCTATATATGACCACTTCATGGTCGGACCTTTGATGTTATGGAGTGGGTATTGCAATCATGGCACTGAGTTCGTCGGCGACGTTAACCGCCAACGGGCGCTTCAACACATCTCGTTGCAAACAGTTGGCCACCAACGCTTGAAACCCCGTGGGAACCAAATCGTGTTTGAATCGATCTCCATGTGGAGTGACCACTGGCGACTTCTCCAAGTTCTGAACGATCCGGACGTCGGTGGCGACGTGTCCGTGTGTGGCTACCCACTGGCAGTAGGGCAGACATCGGGTAGCAATCTCCCCCAGCACCACGCCCAACGTGTACACGTCGGACGAGGACGACCTCGCGCAGTTGTGGGCCACCACTTCCGGGGCATCGTACGCGACCGTGTGATGGCCGTATGTGTAGCCTGCCGGCCAACCCGCTGCCGCCCCTCCTCCTTGATCCATCTCGTCCAACACGTTCAGTCTGGCATGTCCCGCGCTACACACGAGCACATTCCGCGTGGTCCACGGTCCTGGTCGCTTAAACTTGGGCTGCGAGTGCACAAACGCAAGTGCCGACGCGACTTCCCACGCCAGCTGCACCTTGTCAGCCCACGTGAGATGCAGCACAGCCGGCCGAGAACGGGACGGCGTCTCGTGGTGCAGCAGCAGCGCCAACGACCCCCTCTCCATCCACTCGGCAACGACACACACATCGTTATCGGGCAAGTGCACGACCCCAACTAGCGCCACAACGTTTGGGTGAACTACTCGCGTCGCCAACATGTTGACGGTGCTGAGAAACGCTTGCAATTCGTCCGACGACATGCCGAACGTGGGCACGCGTTTCCCAGCATACGCGTGATCGAGGTACTTGAGAGCCCACATGGAGCTTCCATGCGCCAGCGGCGACGTCATCAAGATGTCGGACGCGGGTAAGATGGGAAGGCACGACGCGATGGGCAGGGCGTGCAAGGAAGGAGGCGGCGGAAGGGGCGGCTTGTTTATGATGCCGCCAACACCTTCCCGAGGACGAAGCGACTTGGAAAAGGCGCGCGAGAGCTGCCGAGCGGACGCCAGGAGAACGTTTGTATCGTCGTCGTCGTCGTCGATGCCTGTGGATGTGGTCTGGGGGGACGGGCGGGGCATCGCTGTCGTGGCGGTCGAGTGGTCAAGCAAGACAATGTCAGCACGCCCCGTGTCGAGAAATACAAACGAGTTATCACTGTCGCGCGTGCTCTGGGATGGTGCGCGGGTGAGCATAAAGTGGTGACTGACGGTCGACAGTTGCTGCCGTCGTTGCTCTCGAACGAGTATCCGACGCCGGCAGCACACAATCACGGCAATGACCAAGAGCAACACGGCCACTGCCGCCGCGACCACAAGGATGGGGCTGGACGTGTCTTCGTCTGTGACAGCGTTATTTGAGGTAGCTACCGATGCCGCCGTGATGGGCAGTTCCACGCTCACGCACGTGGCCACTGCGGGGCACGCCGTCGGACATTGAATGGCGACGCCACTAAGGACGCTAGTAGTGGACAGCATCTGCAGGTGGATGCATGCTTGCGCGACGACAGCGATAGATTTGGGAAAGTTATTCCCGGTGAGATTGACACTCACAAGGGACGACGTTTGGAAGAGAGATCCAGGGAACGATGTCATGTGGTTCAAGCTCAAGTCGATGTGTTGCAGCGTCGACGGCGACGGAATGTCCAGCGATGGCAGCTGGCAACCAATGACATGTCTGTTCCAGGAAGCAAGCGTGAGGCAATTGGTGTATGTAGTAGTCGATGGACGAACGACGTACAACGAGGTGAGCGCAGTGTAGTTGAGGCTCGATGCCACCAGGCTGCCTACATCCACGGACCGAATGTCGCTACATGACGACTTGTAAGATCGCACTGAATGGACGGGTGCGCAGAGGTTGTACATGCGAGAGAAAGCAAGGGTTCGCCAAGGACTGAGGTTGAAGGGTGGTAGCGGGGAGTTGCCGCCGCGTTTACCGACGACGGACAGCGATGACACAACCCATTTCGTCTCGACGGAGGATGAGGATGCAATCGCGTTGGCGAAACCAACACAAACCTCCACGAAAGATGCGCTGGTATCGCAACAGAGCGACGACATCGACGGAGGCACAGTCGTGTTGTTTGCGCATTGGGACTTGACGTACGAGATATCCTGCGACGTCGATGTGGCATCAAACATAGAGTTGGTGGAGGTCGCCGTACTGGTTGCTACGTCAAGCGATTAGTTTGATGTAACGGCAAAGTTGAGTACTTGGCGGCGCCGTGGGAGGAAGCGTTGGCTCGGGCATGTTCCAAGTGTAATATGAGGTCGTACAGCTAGGTAGTAGCTAGCTTCTGAAAAACGAGATTAAATTCTGCGTATCCAGCTTGATATTTGTATAAAATTATGAAAATCAATATTATTACGTTGCACATTTTATTACACGCACAATGCGCGTGCAACAGAAATGCATTCGGTGATGGGCATACTAACTGTAAGTACGACAGTACTACGTACTTCGAAGTACGTTGTAGTTATCTGAGTACTACGTAGTATGTAGTATTAATAGTATAATAGCTACTTCGAAGTATAATAGTACTTACTGTTATTAATAGTATTACTCGTATGATTGAAGTGCTCGAAATCGTACGCGACGGATCTGTGATTTGCTGAAAGATCGGTGATTTGCCGAGCTGCACTACCCAATAGAATTCAAGAATTGATATGATTGGATAAAATAAAATAAAAGCCTGCAACAACTGACACCTTCAAAACATTATGATGGGTATAGTACTATTTTAAAGAGGTTATCACCTGTTTTCAAATCAAGTATGACCTGTAAAATATTATCTCCTCATACATATAATATTGCTCTATAAATCAATAATTTTGATTCAACGAAGCCGTAAAATTCCAATACTAAATTCAAGGTTAAATTTCGGCCAATCACCGATCGCCTGTTTGAGCACCAAACTTTGTCATTTTATTCGCCCTGATTCACACTCTTACTCTTGATTTGTATTCGGACGATGCTATAGAGCTAAAAAAAGTGAGCTTGGGACTGCAACTTTTACGTCGAGATAATTTGAACTTCGCCAGATATGGTCGATTGAATGGAGCTCAAAATCGGCAAATCACAGATCCGTCACGTTAACTCGTATGATTGAAGTACTTGAAATCGTACTAACTGTGATCAATAGATTGCCCGATACTGTACTATACTACAGTATCAGAGAATGGCTTTCAATGACGCAAATTAATTAATTACATATAAACACTAGTGAATACTAAAGTGGTGGAAATAATGATATGACACCCCATGAATCCAGTTGTTACTCATGTGTGATTAGCTTAAATGCAATATAATTTTAACCAATCACAAAGACAGCAAATGTCTGTCCAGTGACGACTGCGATTTGACGATCGGATGCATGGGGATCGAGAAAACGGCGGGAGTTCAAATGTGGGCGGGAAATAATGATATGACAGTCGCCACCATTTCCCATTTTGAGGCACAAAACGCATCCAAATCGAAGGTAATTCACACACAGACTACACCTACAAGTCAAACTCACAACACAACACACTCTAGACATCAACTCAATGCCAAAGGGCGATCCTTTGACCGAAGACGAGAAGATTGAGGTTCTCGTTCATCGTCGCGAAGGCAAGTCCACCAACTTCATCGCCAATGAGTTGGGACGGTCCCGAGGCTGCATCCAAGGATTCCTGGACAATCCTGGAGCGTACGGGACTGCGAAATCGACGGGACGTCCGTCCACCATAAGCAATGCTCTGCACCGACGACTCATCCGCTCGGCAAGAAGTGGCAAGTTCACCGCGGCCGAGCTCGTCGATCGGCATTCCATGCCAGTGGGTCCTCGCCGTGTGTGCCAGCTCCTCAACATTAGCGGGAAACTAAAATACAAGAAGCGAATTGCTGCGCCAATGATGACACGAGCCCACGAAAAAGCACGCGTGCTGTGGGCGTCTGAGGCGCGTGACTGGGGCGATCAATTCTCCAAGATGATTTG